TCTTCTGGCATGGCCCCCTGCTGCCACCTGCTGGCTGTATCAATCAACGCCGCTATGGGTATTGTTTCCTATTCAAGAGACCTCTATAAAGGGTGTTAGTCTTTCCCATCCCATCAACCATCATGGGATAAGACTTTCATCTACTTAAAAATTTTTTTCTTTACAATATTTTCACACTGTTCTATTTTAAAAAGAAAAGTCCTTCAGCAAATCTGTGCACAGGTCACAGATAGTCTCACCAGACTTGCCCCAACATAAAGAAAAATTTCTGTATTTGGGCACTGCAATTTGCAAAAGGACAAAAGAGTCAAATGTATATCAGTTCTCATTAACTACCTAAAAGCAGTTATATTACATTCAAATAAGTTGAATTGTGGATAATACCGAAAATGCTAAATACCAACTTTTCTTTGAAACTGGTAAAATATTTTGAACATTTTTGGAAAACATTTCAAAACCAGAAAAGGTTTTGTTTTTTGTCTTTTGTTTTTTTGGAAACAGTGTCTCACTCGGGTTCAAGCAATTCTCCTGCCTCAGCCTCCTGAGTAGCTGGGATTACAGACGCCCGCCACCACGCCCAGCTAATTTTTTTGTATTTTTAGTAGAGACAGGGTTTCACCATGTTGGGGGCAGGCTGGTCTCGAACTCCTGACCTCAGATGATCTGCCCGCCTCAGCTTCCCAAAGTGCTGGGATTGCAGGCGTGAGCCACCTAGCCTGGTCTTTTGTTTGTTTGTTTGTTTGCATTTATTTGTTTTTGAGACAGTCTCGCTCTGTTGCCAGGCTGGAGTGCAGTGGTGCAATCTTGGCTCATTGCAAACTTTGCCTCCCGGCTTCACAAGATTCTCCTGCCTCAGCCTCCCAAGTAGCTGGGACTACAGGCGCATGCCACCACACCCGGCTAATTTTTGTAATTTTTAGTAGAGATGGGGTTTCACCGTGTTGGCCAGGGTGGTCTCCATCTCTTGACCTCATGATCTGCCAGCCTTGGCCTCCCAAAGTGCTGGGATTACAGGTGTGAACCACTGCGCCCAACCTGGAAATAGTTTGTTAAATTTATTTTATTTTTTAAAAAAGTTTTTGGTCAAGCTCGGTGGCTCACACCTGTAATCCCCAGCACTTTCGGAGGCTGAGGCAGACTGATCACCTGAAGTAAGAAGTTCAAGACCAGCTAGGCCAACATTTCAAAACCCAGTCTCTACTGAAAACACAAAAATTAGCCAGGTGTGGTGGTGCGCACCTGTAATCCCAGCTACTCAGGAAACTGAGGCAAGAGAATTGCTTGAACTCGGGAGGTAGAGGCTGCAGTGAGCCAAAATTGCACCACTGCACTCCAACCTTGCTGACAGAGTGATACTCTGTCTCTCTCTCTCTCTCTCTCTCTCTCTCTATATATATATATATATATATATATAAATTATGGAGATAGGGAGTCTTGGTTTGTTGCCCAGGCTGGTCTTGAACTCTTGGCCTCAATCAATCCTCTCATCTTGGCCTTCCAAAGTGCTAGATTACAGGTGTGAACCACCACATCTGGCCTGAAAATATTTTTCACAGGGCAGTGTATTATTATTACTATTACTTAGACAGAGTCTCACTCTGTTGCCCAGGCTAGAGTGCTGTGGGGCAATCTTGGCTCATTGCAACCTCTGCCTCCAGGGTTCAAGTGATTTTTCAGTCTCAGCCTCCCGAGTAGCTGGGACTACAGGTGCACGCTGCCATGCCTGGCTAAATTTTTTTGTATTTTAGTAGAGATGAGTTTTTGCCACATTGCCCAGGCTGTTCTCGAACTCCTGAGCTCAGGCAATCCACCCTCCTTGGCCACTCAAAGTACTAAGATTACAGGCGTGAGCCATCACGCTGGGCCATGGCAGTGTATTATTTTTATTTATGTATTTAGAGACGAAGTCTCTCTCTGTTGCCAGGCTGGAGTGCAGGGGCACAATCATGACTCACTGCAACCTCTGCCTTCTGGGTTCAAGCGATTCTCCTGCCTCAGCCGCCTCAGTAGCTGGGACTACAGTTGTGTGCCACCACACCCAGCTAATTTTTGTATTTTTAGTAGAGATAGGGTTTCACCATGTTGGCCAGGATGGTCTTGATCTCTTGACCTTGTGATCCGCCCACCTTGGCCTCCCAAAGTGCTGGGATTACAGGTGTGAGCCACCACACCTGGCCAACAGTGTATTATTTTTAAGGGCAGTGTCAGAGTTGGGAAAAGAGGCTAGGTATGGTGGTCATGCCTGTAATCCCAGCTCTTTGGCAGGCCGAGGAAGAAGGATACCTTGAAGCCAAGAGTTTGAGACTGGTCTGGGCAACATAGTGAGACCCCACCCCCACTGCCAAAAATTAGAAAATTAGCTTGGCACAGTGGTGTGTACCTGTAGTTCAAGCTTTTTGCGAGACTGAGGTGGGAGGAACCCCTGAGCCCAGGAGTTCGAGGCAGCAGTGAGCTGTGTTCACACCACTGCACTCCAGCCTGGGTGACAGAGCGAGACTCTGTCTCAGAAAAAAAAGAGAAAGAAAAAGAAAAAGAAAAAAAAATTACATAAAACTTACATTGCCTGAAGTCTTAGAGCTTTACTGAGACTCTGGAGTCATATTTAAATTATGAGTGGGGAGTCAACTTAGAGATACCGCCCTGAAAGGTGAGAAAGGGAGAAGGTCTTTAATAAATGTTACCATGAAAATGTCATTATAAGCCAGCACAATGACTCACACCTGTAATCCCAGCACTTTGGGAGGTCAAGGTGTGCAGATCACTTGAGGTCAGGAGTTCGAGACCAGCCTGGCCAACATGATGAAATGCTGTCTCTACTAAAAATATAACAACAACAACAACAACAAGATTAGCTGGGTGTGGTGGCGCATGCCTGTAATCCCAGCTACTCAGGAGGCTGGGGTGCAAGAATCCTTTGAACCCGGGAGGCAGAGACTGCAGTGAGCCAAGATAATGCCACTGTACCCCATCCTGGGTGACAGAGCGAGACTCTGTCTCAAAAAGAAATAAATAAAATGAAATAAATGTCATCATAGATTTGGTTCTTTCAGGTGGAGGGGGAAGGTAGATCAGCCCATGCTTTGTCAGGTGAACTTATTGTTCTTGCCATAGGAATCTAGTGATGGGATTTTTTTTTTTTTTTTTTTTGAGATGGAGTGTTGCTCTGTTGCCCAGCCTGGAGTGCAACGGCATGATCTTGGCTCACCGCAACCTCCGCCTCCCAGGTTCAAGCGATTCTCCTGCCTCAGCCTCCTGAGTAGCTGAGATTACAGGAGCATTGCCACCATGCCCGGCTAATTTTTGTATTTTTAGTAGAGACAGGGTTTCACCATGTTGGTCATGCTGGTCTTGAACTCCTGACCTTGTGATCTGCCTGCCTCGGCCTCCCACAGGGCTGGGATTACAGGCACAAGCCACTGCAGGCCAGGGAATGTGAAATTTTTTGCATAAACACATGTCAATCCTACCAGGGGGAAAACAGAGTCTCATAGGCTGAATCGGTATAAAACATCTCAAGAAATTCTGTCAAATCCTAATAAAATAAGCGCAATTGTTAATCAAATTCAATATCATAAGACATTGTAATCTCTGGTCAATTATTTCACAGTGATTTTGAACACTTACTAAGTACTCTGCTTTAGCATACGTTTGTTTTAATCCTCATAACAATCCTATGAAAGCACCATGCTATCATCAGCAGCGCCATCCTTATTATATTTTATTTTTGAGACAGGGTCTTACTCTGTTGCCCAGGCTGGAGTGAAGTGGTGAGATCACAGCTCACTGCAGCCTCATCTTCCCAGGCTCAAGTGATCTTCCCACCTCAGCCTCCCAAGTACCTAGGACCACGAGCACATGCCACCATGTCTAGCTAATTTTTAAATTTTTTGTGGAGATGGGATGTTGCTATGTTGCCCAGGCTGGTCTTGCACTCCTGGGCTCAAGCAATCCTCCTGTCTCTGCCTCCCAAACTGCCAGGATTACGGGCATGAGCCATCATGCCTGGCCTAAATTATTTTAAATATTTAATAGCTTTTTGCATTTCTATCATTGAGAATTGTTTGTTCATGTCCTTTGCACTGTTCCCAGCTATTATCCCCATTTTACATAGGAGGAAAGTGAAGTTCGAGATTTTTTTTTTTTTTTTTTTTTTTTTTTTGTGACAGAGTTTCGTTTTTTCGCCAGGCTAGAATGCAGCAGCACGATCTTGGCTCACTGCAACCTCCGCCTCCTGGATTCAAGTGATTCTCCTGCCTCAGCCTCCCTAGTAGCTGGGACTACAGGTGCATGCCACCACGCCCAGCTAATTTTTGTATTGTTAGTAGAGACGGGGTTTCACTATGTTGGCCAGGGTGGTCTGGATCTCCTGACCTCGTGATCCACCCACCACAGCCTCCCAAAGTGCTGGGATTACAGGCATGAGCCACCACGCCCAGCCTCAGGAATCTTAACTTGGCTGTAGTCACAAGGTTCCTGGGGTTCAAGCCACTGCAATCTGACCCCAGAGCTCATGCTCAAACACTGTACTGTTTTGCCTTCTGTGGTCCCCATGTTTGCTTACAAAACTATAAAGGAACTTTAAAACTTCCCTCTAATACAATTTCTACCTGTGCACTTCACTTTGGAGTAAGTGTATATGTGGTGACATTGTTAGTTATCTACCCAGCATCCATCCCTTATCCCAAAATACACCAAAAACATTACAAACAAACAAACAAACAAAAAACCGGGACTCAAAAACCAAAACACCCTCAAACTGCACCAATGCTTCATACTTTGACCAAAAAAAAATCCTAGGCAGAAGTGTAAAATGCAAAATCAAATGACAGGAAAATGCAGAACAAACAGCATTCTTATTAATATACAAAGTATTTATATTACTGAACTAGTAACAGGTGACGTTCTCACCTGTTACTTTGGAACCACATAGCCAATTTGTTAAATCTAGTCCATGCCAGCTTCCAAAAGCCAAAACTTTAGTTAGTTTCATTCTCTGACGCCTAATCAAAATTTTCTACAAGATCTGGAGCATCCTCCTCCTCATCCCCAGTGTCTTCCGGTTTGGGTGCTTTACTGTCCAAGACTTGCCGTGGGAACTGTTCCGCTAACTTCCTAAGGCTTGTTAAGCTGTCAGCACCGAGCTGACTTAATATTCCAGGAAGCGTTTCTGTGATGGGTTTGGCTTCTGCATGACCAGTAATTGCAAAGGTGTTAGCAGAAAGGGAAGCTTGGATTTCGGGATTGTTGAAATGAATAAATGTCCCGTCATCTTTAAGCATGTTCACCTCTTCAATACCAGCTGTATTATTCACAGCCAGTTTTTTTAGAGAACTCTGAAGCTTTTTGTCATCAGCTGTAGCTGTTCTATGTACCACCTTCTTCTTTCTGAGAGCTGTACCCTTGCCCCCTATCCGGACCTGAGCCTGAAGTTTGGCTAACTTTTCTTGATTCATGCTGTTGGTAAATCTGAAGCAGAGAGGGTCCTCCAACACCAGCATATGACAAGAGCAAGATGGCTGCCTCCTGTCCCCCTTTCTTAAATCCTCACCTCTTTGTCTCTACGTCTATCTCTGTCTTTCTAACTCTCATCGTCTCTCTCACTCTCATCGTCTCTCTCTTTCACGCACACAGCTGTCAACATAAGATTGCACCTAGCACCAACCATCCCAAGGAAGAGCTGAAAAATCAAACCGATTCCACCCATTCTAACTGCAAGTTTTGCAATGGTTACAGATAAAGAAAACTGCTACCTGGGACAAGACCAAAGTCATGTACTCCTCTCTTCTCCCTACTGATGACGACTCCAATTCTGCTCTGGCTCAGGAAGTTATCTACTTTTGAGGTGCTCCCTGATGCCCATTGGCTGTATAAAGCTTTTAATCTCTATTTGAATCATTTTCATTTATTTCTTTGCCACTATCCACTTGTCCCAACATACTGTATTAAATATTCCATCCAGTAGTATTCCAAAGAAGGTGGGGGTCGGGGGTAGGAGCAGTCCACCCAGCAGCTAGAGTAGGAGGAGAATTTTATAAGACATTCTTCAGAGTCACTGATGCCTGATGATGATAAAAATAAGACTGTTTTATCCATCCTTATTATTATTTGTAAATTCTTCATAACAGTAAAACTCTTTGTTGCCTATACCTAGGGTGAGCCATCCCACTGCCCCTCTTCCTAGTTTGGTACTCGACTGACTTCATCTTTTTTTCTACTGATTCATTATTACGTATCAATTTCCATTCCTGGGCTTTCTCTTCTATTCTCTTGGTCTACCTCTCTCTCTCTCTCTCTCTCTCTCTCTCTCTCTCTCTCTCTTTTTTTTTTTTTTTTTTGAGTTGGAATCTCACTCTGTTGCCAGGCTGGAATGCAGTGGTGAGATCTTAACTCACTGCAACCTCCGCCTCCTGGGTTCAAGCAATTCTCCTGTCTCAGTCTCCCAGGTTGAACGGAGAGCGCTCTTCTTGTCCTTCCACGTTCCACCATGTGAGGGCAGAGCAACAGGTGTGATCTTGGAAGTACAGAACAGCCCTCATCAGATACCAATGCCAGCACCCTGATCTTGGACTTCTCAGCCTCCAGAACTGTAAGAAATAAATTTCCGTTCTTTAGAAATTACCTCGTCTTAGGTTATTTTGTTATAGCAGAACAAACAAACTAAGACAGTGATAAACTCGTGCGGTGCAAAATTCAAAAGGAACAAAACATTGTATTTACTTATTTATTTTTGATACAGAGTTTTGCTCTCATTGCCCAGGCTGGAGTGCAGTGACGTGTCAGCTCACTGCAACCTCCACCTCCTGGGTTCAAGCGATTCTCGTGCCTCAGCCTCCCAAGTAGCTGGGATTACAGGTACCTGCCACCATGCCCAGCTAATTTTTGTGTTTTTAGTAGAGACTAAAATGAAAAGAAAACTGGGTGTCTGGGAGTTGTGAATGGGGAAATGACTTTTCACTATAAAATGTTTTGTTCTGGCTAAGTGTGGTGGCTCATGCCTGTAATCCCAGCACTTTGGGAGGCCAAGGTGGGCGTATCACTTGAGATCAGGAGTTTGAGACCAGCCTGGCCAACATGGTGAAACCCCATCTCTGCCAAAAATATAAAAACTTAGCCAGGTGTGGTGACGTGTGCCTATAATCCCAATTACTCAGGAGACTGAGGCAGGAGAATCGCTTGAACCTGGGAGGCAAAGGTTGTTGCATTGAGCAGAGATGATGCCACTGCACTGCAGCTTGGGTGACAGAGCAAGAATCCATCTCAAAATAAAATTTACTGAATTGTACACTTTAGATGAGTGCAGTTTATTGTACCTAAATCATGCCCCAATAAGCCAAATCTAATGCCATTACTATGATGCTATAATAAATAACCTTTACATATGTGTCTGTTTTTTTCATCTCCACCTGTTTTCTCAAGTATTTGTTACGATTTTACAGTAACTCATTTTGTTTATTTTCAGAAAGGATAATTTTGTTACAAAAAGATATTCATTTGTTTATTTAGTTTTTTTTTTTTTTTACTTTGTCTGTTTCCTCCACCTCACTCCCTGCCCCCGGGAGAAAACAGGAACCTTTTTTATATCATCCATCACTTTTTATCCCCAGAGCACAGAATAGTGCCTAGCACAGAGTAAGTGTCCAACAAATATCTATCGAAAGAAAGAGCATTAAAAATGTATATTTTCAGGCTTCACTTCTAGGGGTTCAGATTCAGTAGGCCTGTGGTAGGGCCTAGGAATCTGTATTTTTTAATAAGTGCCTCAGATAATTCTGATTGTCAATCAGATTTGGATTCAAGCCATCCTCTTACCCTCTTGCTGCCCCCAGTAACTGCAGCAGCCTTCTTACTACTTCCTGCGTGCCACATCCCTTCTTAAAACATTGCAATGTTGTGCTGGATTGCTTCCAAAGATTGCCGCAACACTCTTTCCCATCCTGAATGCCCTTTTCCCTGTGACTTTGCCACTCTTACTATCAAGAAGTGGAGCCTCTTTCTTCCCTCCCCTTGAATCATGTAACCTGCTTTGACCAATAGAATGTGATGGAAATGATGCTATGCCAGTTCAATTCAAGGCCTAGGCCTTAAGAGACCTTACAGCTTCTGTTTCTGCTTTTTTTGGAAGCTATGTGAAAGAGAACTGAGGCACCCAGTCAAAAGCCTCCACCAAGGTCTCAGACATGTGAGTGAGGCCATCTAGGATCCTTCGCTGCTTGTGGAGCCACCCCAGTTGACAACACATGCAGAGGGGTCGAGCTGCCCCTACTAAGCCATCCTCAGATTCCCAACTGACAGAATTGTGAGCACTTAAATGGTACTTGTTGGCCGGACACGGTGGCTCACACCTGTAATCCCAGCACTTTGGGAGGCCGGGGTGGGCAGATCACGAGGTCAGGAGATTGAGACCATCCTGGCCAACATGGTGAAACCCCATCTCTACTAAAAATACAAAAATTAGCCGGGGATGGGGTGTGTGCCTGTAATCCCAGTTACTTGGGAGGCTGAGGCAGGAGAATCACTTGAACCTGGGTGGCAGAGGTTGCAGTGAGCTGAGATCGCACCATTGCACTCCAGTCTGGGCGACAGAGTGAAACTCTACCTCAAAAAAAAAAAGAAAAAGAAAAAGAAAAAGAAAAAAATATATACTTGTGGTAAGCCCCTAAATTTTGGAACTGATTGTTACAAGGTTATAATAACTAAAATAGTATTGCATTGCTTTCAGGATAAATCCTTAAAGGGCTTGAAAGACCTGTGATGATGTGACCCCTGGTCACCTCTCTAAACTCACCTCCTGCAAAAACTCTCCAGTCTAGGAAACCTTACCTGAGTCTGTAGGCTTCAGATGCTGTCATAGTTGACTTCTGACTTTGGAATAAGACAACCCTGGGGTCGTCCAAATTGTGTGGCCTTGATTAAGTTACCAAAACTCTCTTGGTTTTATTATTCTCATCTTTGACATAGGAATGATATTAGCACTTAACTCATAAGGGAGTTGTGTGAATTCACTAAGATAATGCGTGACAACCGTTTCGGATAGCACCTAGCACGTAGGCAGAACACAATAAAGGTTAGTAATAGTAAGAATAATAATAATTACTACATTATCTTGTAATCGTCTGTTTTTGTTTTGTTTTGTTTTCTCCTCTAGATTGTAAGCACTGTGTGGACAGCAGGGACCATACCTTGTCCATTCTTGTATCCTCAGGGTCTAGCATAGTAGGTGTACTCAATAAATAACTGTTAAATACATGAAGGAATGAATGAATCAGCAAGAGAGTAAATAAACAAACTTATCAGTGATTCGATATTGATGAACTGAACTGCTACCCATATGTACATTGGTATGAGAGATTCAGGCATTCATTATGTTTTCTTATTACAACAATGTGGCATCAGGGTCCTGATTAGATAGGATCACAGGGCATGTTGAACCTGATTCTTTTTTATTTTTATTTATTTATTTTTTTGAGACAGAATCTCACTCTGTCACCCTGGCTGGAGTGCAGTGGTGTGATCTCGGCTCACTGCAATGTCCGCCTCCCAGATTCAAGTAATTCTCCTGCCTCAGCCTCCCAAGTAGCTGGGACTACAAGTGTGTGCTACCACACCTGGTTAATTTTTGTATTTTTAGTAGAGACGGGGTTTTACCACCGTGGCCCAGCTGGTCTCAAATTCCTGACCTGACGTGATCTGCCCACCTCAGCCTCCCAAAGTGCTGGGATTACAGATGTGAGCCACCACACCCAGCCTCTGATTCTTTGATTACGGTTTTTTTGGTGTTGATGTTTTTCTTCCAACAGAGATACTATAGTGGGAATCTCAGTTAAGTCTTCTCAAAGTGCTACATAGATCTCTGAACTTTGTCAAGCCTAAGGCCTCGTCTTTGTTGTTTATCTGTTTGTAACAAATTGTATTATTGGGATTACAGGAAAAGCATTTTGGTGGAGTTTCCTGTTTGTTTTTTGCAGAGGGAAAGCAGTTTTCTATTTACTATTTCCACTTGAAGCTTCTGCAAGACCGTTTTTGTTTTTGACAACAAGCATGAACAACTGCTGGTCGTCAAGGAGATAGGATCATTACTGCAGTCTGAGAGTTGAAAACATCCAGATGTGTCACATTACTAATTAATCTGCTGCATTATTTTTCCATCTTATCTTCAAACACTGTCTCTTGCTACCCTGGTTATTAGCAGGTAGCATAATTTATCCCTCAGAGGCCCTCAGAGTGACATAATTATATTTTTAAAAACAGATGTATAAAACAAGGCAGGCAAGTATCAGATATTTTATAACACCAGAGCCTACTTACAAAGTTAACTCATTTAATGGTGATTTACAACTTAACATGTAACTTACGTGACACGAAAAAGAGATCTATGAGATAGAAATTAATGTGTCTTATTGTTTTTTCAGGTTTTTTGTTTTGTTTTGTTTTGTTTTTTGAGACAGGGTCTAATTCTGTCACCCAG